TAATCGGGATGTAGGCCTGCAAGCTTATGTTGCCACGCCCAGGCTAAGTCAAGAGCGCTATATGTTTCGAGTGCTTTCAGGGCTTGGGCATGTTGATAGGATCCCGAGCTTTGATTCTCCAAATACTTTTCTGTTGTTGGTTTCTGGCCAGACTTGATTCGCTCTTCTGTAGGGTTTACTTGAAGGAGGTTTTACAGGATGGGCAAGCTACAGGGCATGCAGACACAACAAGTCACATGCCACATTCCGGGCAGTGCAGCTCGATTTCAGGTGGAGGCAAGGACTTCACTGGTTGTGATTGTATCTCCATGGTCCATATTAGTGTCAAGCAGGTGTGACGAAAAGGTCCAGCAAGCAGCGAAGGCGTTCGAGGATGAACCACCAACTCAGAGCTGTAACATCTTCAACCCAAAAAAGCATTCTTGAAGCCGAACTCCTGAAGGACCGCAGCATCACAAAGCCCAAGAAACAAGTTGTTGTTGGCATCCAACGGCTGGCGGCTAGTCATGACCAAAGCGGGACTGTTACGCGGTTCTTTCACGGTGGCCTTCAAGAAGGTTTGAGCACAAACGGCATCTACGTTTTGTATCGCAATAGACTCGGCCCGCTTCTGTATATGTGCCGGCGATAGTCCGTAGCTCTGCTCGACACCGCAAAGCCGCAATCAAGCTCTATAATCATATTCAAGAACCTATAATCGCCAGCCCTTCGACCCTAAACCCTAAGCCGCACTCCAGTATCCGGACAGGGCGCTCCTCAGACGATCACCACCTCGCCACCTCAGGGTGGCATCTTCGCAGCACCGGCAGCTCGGGTTTAAGTATTAAGGATTTGTTGAGGCTCGGAGTTTGCAGCGGGAGTAGGGTGCACTTCGAGGTTACGGGTGCATCATATTGCACGGCTCAGGGTCGACGCTATGTTATTTCAGGGGTTTTGCTTGAGGTTTTCAGGTTTAGGGGTCTGAGGCTAGTTAAGGGTTTAGGGCCAGTTGAGGGTTCGGGGTTTAGGATATTTGTTCGTCTATCTTGGATCATAGCGAGCGCATCAAAATGCCGGCTCCTGGGACGATGTTTCGGATGGGTTTGTGCAGGTTTTGTGGGATCGCCTTTTAGGTTTCGGGTGCAGAACATAGGGGGAGAAAAGAGACGTGGGTGTCTTGTCTAGGAATCGCGTTCCGTTTAAGGACTCGTTAAGGGATCCTTTAATTACGGGCTCCTTGAGTGGATCTGTAAGGGTTTGGAGCTCAGGTTCTGGGGTTATAGGGCTTAAGGGCTTGGGGTATACATGGGATTGGAGCTTCTCTCCCTTCTCTACATGCCGTAACCAGGTCGGCACACGCATGGGTTAAGGGTTTGCGGCTTCGGGGCTACCGGGTTAATCGGACTGCGCCCCTCAACATCCCAGACCCAGACCTGAACATGAAGGAACCTAAAAGCCCGAACCCCAGAGTCCCAGAGACGCATATTGGACGAATTCTGATATGTCTGAGAAGGCCCTACAACTTAATGTTGATTCCTGAATTCAAGAGAGGCTCTGAAGCCTCCTTCAAGCCTCCCTTGAAGCCCCTTTAAGCCCTCTCGGAAAAACCCGGAAGAAGATGCGGCCCCGCGCGCTGGGAGCTTGAATAGTCCCCATTATATCTCATCAGGGCTTCGTAGTCGCAAGGACTAGTTACTAATCTGGCGACTATAAAGCCTGCTCTATGTAGCTCTCGAGCTCTCGTTCCTGCAGGATGGATATAGCCCTTCAACACTTAACAAGCATGAAATGAACCAATGGCCTCCGGCAGCACCAAAACCCCAGAACCCGCACCCGCATACTGATTGGATTGAGTCGTAATTAGGGGGTGCTCTATCCCTACCAAGGCCCCCGTTGCCATAGTTCTTTCGGCCACCAGCGAAAACTTCAACCCTAAACCCCAAACCAGTTTGCAAAGAAGTCCGAGCGGCTTAAAATCACATCAGCCACCTTGATTGCAAAACTTGAGGGTGGCTGAATGTACCAGTAGCCCTCCAAACATACCAACATACCATAAGGAAGAGGACAGTACGGAGTCGTACAACATGATGAAGTGGCCGTGTTTGGGTTGCTGTCGGGTTTATCTGCTGCAGTTTTAGCGAGGAAGCCCGGAACCGGAACCCGACACTCTGAGCAGGCCTTCCCCAACTTGCTCTGCAAACGAAGGTGTTCACCGAGACCGTTCCCTTTGAGCCCACGCCAGGATTCAACCCACCCTCGGAGGCGCCTCATGCACACGGGCTGCCAATGGCAATCATGCTCCCCGTGGCGCACCCCGTGCCAATGCCATTCTACCCTGCTCCTCCCGAGGTGCCAAGACTCATGATGCCTGCGCCATGTCCCATAATGTCAGGCTCCCACCGTCTTCCCCCAATTCCTCCGCCCAACTATCCAGCGCCAGCTGTGGCCGCGGCAACCTCCCCTCTGCCACCGACTCACAATCCAAACATCCCGCACGTCCTCGCTTGTGAGTCAAACCCCCAGTCAGAGCAGCCCCATGCGGAGCCACTTCCAGCAATTCCGTGCGAAGCCACTCACGATTTCCACCCACATCCTCTCCCCCATCCAGTTCCATGCGAGCCGACGCCAGGCTTCTGCCCATTCGTCGGTGCCTCAGGGTTGTGAGCTAGTTGCCGGGCTTTACCCTCAACCCTAAACCCTGCAGCATTCTCAAGACTGAGGATTCATGTTAGCATGGGGGATTTGGCGCTCGGAGGCTTAGCTTGGGGTTGGGGATTCAAGGCTGAGCTAAACTAGCGATTTGCAAGCCGCCAACAGCACAAGACAAGCAAGCTCCATGGCGCTGATTTGCGAAATCCATCAGGCCCTTAGCCTTAAACCCGAGCTCCAAACTCGTAGTATAGCTTGGCAATCATAGCGTGGCCGTTTTCGGGTTGGTTTCGTTAGCGTGATAGGGAGACCTCACACCGTGTATACCGGCTAAAGTGATTGAAAAGAAGGTCTTAAGTTTCTGTAAAGCCCGGATAGAAACCTTTGGAAGGTCATGGTCCCCGTCCTCATCCTGTTTGGGTGAAGCCGCTCGCTTGGGACGGCCAGCCTTTCAAGTGCGAGTTCCCAAGTCAGTAGCCCCTAAACCTTAAACCCGTAAACCCTGAACCCTCTACTCAAGGAAGGCCTGCCCTGGCCTTGTTTTTGGCCCTAAAGTCTTCAATTCTTTATGCCAGCATTCCAGACCTGTTTTGGACCCACCTCTGCTAATTTTCAGGAGTGTGCGTTGAAAAGTTCCTTGATCTTGCAACCGTCCTTCTACTGCATAGACAGAAGCCCTCGATTGTTTAAAGAGCCTCCCACACTCAACTGGGAGCTCAGGGTCCGAATGAGCGAAGATGGGTTTTACGATGTGGCGTTCAGGGCTTCGATAAGTCGGGCTTAATGGTTCTGAAGTGTTGAGGTTTGATGTCGATGTAGGGTTGTAGCTTCGGGTTCGGAACTTTCGAGAAGCTTCTTGCTAATATCTGTATTTTTCGGGGAAGTCACTCGCAAACAACGAGCAATCTGGAGATGGCTTGACAATGCTTGATACTATGTCACAAATGACTGAACATTCCCGCTTCTCGGAGAAGAACCCTATACCCTAAACTCCCTAGACCTTGAACTTGGGCCCTAAACCTGAAGACGCTAAACCAGTGGCCCCATAAACCTTCTATGGCTGGACCTCAAAGGGACGGGGGTAGGGGGTATTTGGGCCGTTAGACAATTGGCTTTGAAGGCCAGGTCTGGACAACTCCTGCTTGAAGAATCAGGGGACTCCGTCATGGTTTTTTCGAAGTCCTTGCTCCTTCAAGCCGTGGTTCAGAGTTCAAAGCATTGGTATTAAAGGGTCTGGTGCGGATCCCGATTCAGGATACAATAGTTAGCATGGTGTTGGGACGACGGAATGCCTGGGAAATTAACGTGAATTCTGGACCCCCTAATAAGCCCCGAAGCCCTAAAGCTCCCCATCCAGAAACACCCTGAACCCCTAAACCATCTTGGGACCCATCATCCGAGGCGCCACCAGCACGCCTGCGGTGCGAACCCTCGACTGAGCTGCAGCTGCTGCACCAATGTCGTTGTTTCTTCAATTCCCAAGGAGCAAAGGTTTGCAAACAACGCGGCCCTTGCGCTCTGTGGGGTGTGGGCGTTTGTGAGGCCAGCCTACATTATAATCACCGGAACTATCAGCCATCATCTGCTCTCGTTCTCGATTGCAAACCTACTACAAGAAAACAGCTCCCACACCCTAAGCCTTAGCCCCTAAACGCTTCGATGCCAGCCTTGGCATGTGCCACTGCACTGAAAAGCCTGAAGCCCGGATTGGGGCCCAGAGAGCTCCCGAACGTCGGTTGAGCTTCTCCCTCTTGGACACCCGTGGCAAACGAAGATGAAAGAGGATCCTTCCGTGCTCCGTCGCCAGACCCGAGATGCTGAATTAGGCTTTGTAAGCACGCAAGACCACAAGTGGAGACATATTTCCTTCCCGTCCCCGTCCTGGCCATGCTGGTGCCAAGAGGTTTCGAATGGGTCACAGCACCCGATCTGTGAGCCTGCCCCGTGATGGTGCGTGCTGACCAAGGGCCCCGCGCTGCTGCCAAAATGACCGTAGTTCACGAATGCTTTTGAGACTCTAGTCGTTTCCTGCATGTAAAACCAATGCAAGAGGTCAGCCTGACAGTAAACTGGAAAGGTGACGGACAGATTTGTGTTTTTCCGCATTGATCACGTGGGCCTGTTGCGAGGACAGATGGCAGGCAATAGGCGTTTTCAGGACTGGCTGTTGGTGGGATTGGTTCTTGTGGGACCGATCGCTGTAGAATCGCAATTACCTACACAAAGCATCTTCCAAGACTCTGAGCGATTGGTGGCGTTGGGTTTGGCACATCGCTAAGCTCCGTTTGACTTGTTTCATCTTGTAGACAAACTAGAGTTGGCCCAAGCACGACTTTGTAGTCGGGTTTACACCTCGTCGAGCTGGGTTCAGCATGGCCGCGAACTCAGCGCGTGCAGCACAGGTCCCCCTCATACTGCGTTGTTGGCTGCGTCATCTGCATTCTGCAGGCCGTAGGCTGTCCCTCAGCGTGTCCCTAGGTCTGGAGCCTTTTGGCCAACATGTTGCTGCCTTCGCAATCTTAAGCCCCGTAATCTAGAAAAGTGCAGGGCCCGCAGGCTAGAACTCCGCAGTTTCCAATGCCCGACAAGACAGACGCCTTAGAAGTTTCAATGGGGTTTCGGGTGTCCGACATGTTGCTTCTCATTGTACAGCCGGTACGCCGTGCGACCTGCCCGCTTTAACAGTCGTGTTCAGGGTTTCGGGGTTTATGGGGCACATAGGGCTTACAGGGTTTAGGGTTTCGGTTCGCAGTGAACTAGCTAAATTACAAAGCCCAAGACCCAAGGTCTCTTACCGCCTAAACCCTAGTTCGGTCTAGGCTAGTTTGTTAGTATCGACCTTAGGGTTCAGCCTTCGACTTCAATCCGAAAGAGCGCAATCTGACAAAATACGCAACCCTACAGCCTACACCCAAACCCCTAAACCCCCAGACCCTAAACCCAGCCTTAATTGGTCGAGTGGGGTTTTGGGCTCCGTTATAGTTAAACCCTAAGGAACGATATTGGTTATCTGGGTTTCTATATGGGTAGTTCTCCAAATACGTGCCCCTTTTCGGGTCCGTCTTAAAAGGGCGCCGCACCATTTTGGAGCCCAAAACGTAACCCTCTAAGGTATGATCTTTACCTTATCGTATGATTCACGGCGCGTTCCGGGGCGTTGGGCTCTTTGAGGCTTCCCTTGAACTCTAAACCATGCACACCTTCGGCGTGGTCCGTAACATACCGATACCTTTCAATATTTCCATCTGGAAGGCAGAACGTCAACTTTCGAACCCCAAAACACCTTTGAACCGGGGCGTTGACGGAAGTCGTCCGCGAGGTCGTCCTCCTGGGCCGGTGCAATCTGTCTTTGGTCCAATGTTTCATGCTTCACAAAGCTCCATCCTAAAATCCAATTCGCAAACTTCACCGTTGCAGCCCACTCATATGAGCGTGCTTATAACAATGCCCTGACGCCGTTATGCCGTTGATCCCTTGAGCTTCCTTCATCTCTGAGGCGTTGGCTTCGGATCGCGGCGAGGCCTTGGATGCTCCAAAGCTGCGCCCTCAGTCCCCTCTAGTAAAGTGTGCCGCTCCCCAAAGAAGAACCAGTCCAATGCAGCGGCTTCCATTGGTACTTCAATTCGAAGCTGACATGGTGGCTGACGAGGCCCACTCTTCTCGAAAGGCGATCGAACAATGACAAAAAGGACTGGCAAGATCCATGTTCGTGATCATCCATGGTGAGGTCGCCGGGTATAGTTGTAATGGTGCAGTCACAGCTACGGCTGTGTCCTTTCCATGTCCGACGAAGGCAATCTGTGCAGTGCAGCACTCGAGATGCTCACACAACTCGCTTCGGTAGATGTTTGATTTCCACCGTAGTGGTCATCATCATCGTCATCATCAGTGTCACCATCAGCCTCATGCTCATGGTTATCATCACGTCGATAGTCCGCACTACAGTTAACACCTGCACAAGCCAACGTTGAATAGTTAGCTGCAAGGAGATCCGGAAAGTGCCTGGACCCGAGATTCTACAGCTACACATCGACCGAACTGCTCGACCTTCGGATTGGGACGAGTTTTGATGTTAGCCCACTCAGCCCTTCATGCGGACTCAGAGAGCTCGGACTGGAGTCCTTTGCAAGCACAGGGTATAGGGTACAGGGCTTAGCGGATTTATGACCCTAGGCTTTTAGAGAATCAAGTTTTTGTGTGCAGGGCTGCGAGTTTGGGATCAGCTGCAGCTTGTGTTTATGAAGAATGCTGAGGGTATGCGGGACTGCATCGTGCGGCTTAAGGATAAAGGGTCTCGGGAGGATCCTGAACATTTGCTATGAATTTGAGCGCAGCTTTTTGACTCTATGTTCTTGAAGGTGTTGGGTTATGAGCCCAATGGCATTTACGTCACAGCTTCGTTTTCGTCAACTTTACAAGAAGAGACTCGCGGCTGGCTCAGATCTTCTAAGACCTTAAACCGTAAAATCTCATACCCTAAACCCTTACGCCCACAGGGCTTAGGCATGTCTTGGTTGACGGGTCTATAGGCCAACGCCGAATCCAAAAGCGTAAACCCTTTGTGGCCCGCTGAAGCACGAGGGATCCGAGTCCGAGCTCCTCCGCTGCTGGCGCAGACGCTGCTCCGAGCCCAGTGCCGGGTGTTTGGGTTTTTGTGTTGAAGTTCAGGGTCGATGGGTTTGGGGTTTAGGGTTTAGGGCTCTTGGGTTACCTCGCTACAGTCGCCAGCCAAATGTTCTTCACTGCTTTCTTGGGGCATTTGGTGTAATTCTCAGGAACCCTTGCAATACAATCAGCTCACGTGTCTTTTTGCTTTGGGTACTGCATCGCTCTGGTTGTAGGTACCGTTACTCGCTGGGGCAGGAATCAGACAAAACCCTGCGGAATCCTAAAATCTAAACTAAGAGAATCCCTGGAGGAATGCTCGCAGCACCACTGCCCTAGACCCCAAACTCCTAAAGCCCTATCCTCAATGAACCACCGAGCCCTAACTCCCAAACCCTGGTCCAGCATATCCCTGAACCCACCCAACTCCACCGAACCCGACACTCTCGCACCCTAAACCCTCAACCCTAAATCCCTAAACCGAAGCGATGGCTGTAGCTGATATGCAGGACTGTCTGCAATGCCTAGCAATCCCCTGAGCCGTATACCCTAAACCCTGAACCCAACACCCAGAACCCTCCATCTTCCAGCGTCATGCACACCGCGCTGGTCAATGCGAGAACCAGAGATTTACTTCCACTTGAATAGGCCAGGAGGGCATGTCGCGACCCAATCAAAACCACAAGTGATTGCTGACAACCCAAAGTCCGAAACTCCAAATTCCCAAACCCGGAAATCCCTAAACGCTAAGCTCAAGGAAGAGCTGCATCTGCGAGATGCACTCGCCAGAAACTCAGACTTCTCATGCGTTTTTGAACCAACCCCTTCTCAATTGCCAGAATTCAGAATCCCTGTAGATTCATTGTGCAGGGTTCAAGAGCTGGGCTTCCGGGTGTCATGGTTCATGGTCAGAGGGTTTAGGGATCTTGTTGTAGAGTTACAGTTTAGGAACTGGCGTTTACATCGACATACCAAGAAACTGTCCGCAAAGAGGGCAAAGAGCGAAAGCCGATGACAAAGAAAGGGTTTCTCCAACTTCTTGTTTGGGGCCTTCATCGATATCTATTGGCATCAGTATTAGTAGCACTGACAGCGGGGAGGGCAGGGACAGCCGTTGTCTTTTTCCTCAGCGTGTTGTCCTTCAGCCATCCCTGTCTAATGTTCCTTGATCGTGGCTCTTTCTGCATCAAAAGACTGCCGTGTAGACCGAGACACGACGGCCTCAGGACACAAAAGCCGTAAGGTGGCTTCGAAATTTAGGGCCAAGCTTTTGGCACTTAAGCCAACAAGCAGTAGAGGCCTCAAAAGACATCCCAACAATTTCGCATTCAATTGAGATCCTCAGCAGCAGCGCCCAAGAATGCACAGCCAAGAGCCGTAATCTGTCCACGATGGTGCAGGCGTGGGATGGGGACCCTGAAGTTTGCCGAGACATGACGCCGCACGCGAGACCCCTAGGCACTCCGTATTGAAAGTTTCCGCCTGCAGAATTCAGCATCTAGGGTTTGCAGTCTGAAAGATGAGGATTCCGAGCCTCTTACAGACTGTTCTCGGCCGCCAAGAGTGCATGGGCTCTTCAATGCCACTTTGACTGCTAAAGCTTCCAGCAAGGCTCGACACATATCACTCGTGGATGAGCGCCTGAGAGGCTCCAGATACCTAGAGTTTGGGATTAACAGGTCCTACTTCAGGGTTTCAGTCTTCTGGGTTTGGGTCTAGAGTCTAGAGGCTTTGGAGATAGGGGGTGTGCGGGGTTAATATTCAGATGTTGAGGGACAGGCTTGGACACCCCTCAATCACCTTGCAAGGGGTCTGGGCAGGGTGAAGTGTTAAGCTACCAGGCACGGTAATTTCAAAGAAACCCGAACGAAACCCGAAGCCCTCGAACCTTAAAGCGAGTTTCACTCAGACCTCTAAAGCTGCTTTAAAAGCATGATCCCTTCTTAGGTCCCCGAATTAGTACGGCACCCTGACAACAAGGAGTCCCCAAAAAGACCCGAATTCAGAGAACTACCCACATGCCTCGCCTGACAAGTGTCAAGCGCCCTGAACATCCTAACTAAATACCCTACACCTTGACAACTAAGCTCCCATATACAACACTGGCAAACACCCTTTTCCAACCACATGGCAGAAGAAAAATCATGAACAAACTCTTGCTAAAGGAAACTTGCCTTATACAAACATTGACAAAAACTTATGAACTCTCAAACCCCTATCATAAGCCAGTATGGAAGCCTCTTAAGAAAAAGCAACATTTTCGACAAGACGGGCCGCCCTTCGACGATCGCCCGGCCGAAGTCCCTCTAGGCCAGAGGTGGTCCAGCCGACAACCTGAAACCCTGGAACAAGGGTCATAGAAGGTCTTAAGGCTTAGGGTGTTCGGGCTTTGTGGTTTTGCTAAGGCCTCTCAGCTTCAGGATTTGATGGCTTTGCGTAAGGCTGTAGGATTTGTGGTTTTTCGAGTTCCGGGCTTGCCTAGCTTAGGTTTAGGAGTTAGAGCAGGTGGCTTAGAAACTAGGTTCTGGGCATAGTTGGGATTGAATCCGTTGCGTCGCTGACTTAATGTCGGGGTCGGATGAATACCCCCCCTTCCCTCCGAGGCTGTATTGTCGAAGGGTCTCTTGGAGTGGTCGGTGGGTTGGGGGGTGGCATTTCTGTGATGTCAGTGCCGTGGTGCTTGAATCGGATGGCGAAACCTGAGCCCTTGAACCCCATGACCTTCAAATCCATGAGTGCTTGAATTTAGGCCTTGGGGCTTGGCGTTTTGGGCTTAATTTGGGTGTAGGGTTTGGGGTTTACGGTTAAAGCTGGGAAACTTGAAACTTATGCTTCTTTTGACGCTTTAGAAAAGCTTTACAAACGTCTACTCTTGGGTCACGATCATGGCTCCTAGGGCCCTAAGCCTCGAACCATGAGCGCTAACGCCCCACCTACATGCAGGAACTGAGAATGCTTGCACTTGCACCAATGATGCGAACACGTGGGGCCTCCAGGCCAGCCCAAGTGTTGAGGTTTGATGTCGATGTAGGGTTGGAGCTTCGGGTTCGGAACTTTCGAGAAGCTTCTTGTTAATATCTGTATTTTTCGAGGAAGTCGAACCCATGGGGTTGTACGGGTTTTTGGGATTCAGTATGTAAAGCTTCGGGTTCGTGGTTACCCCTGCTGCGTGAAAAAAGTAAAGGCCTTGATGCTTAGTTCTTCATTGCTGTTTCTCATACTTTCATGGGGTATTGGGGATGCGAGACTATAAACCTTTAAGCAAGCCGCAGACTCCTGAATCCTAAAATCAGAAGCCTTTAGTGTCCTTCCTCTGAACCCTAAACAAGAAGTGTCTCGGGTTTGCGGAGTTGCTTTATGGAATCTCAAACCCCAAAACATGCCCTTGAAAAAAAAGCACCTGTGAAACCCTTACGAAGCCTGTTTTAAGTTTCGGTCCAGACCTAAAGCAGCGCAACCAAGCGTTTGTACTGGAGGTCACCCTCCTGCGCCACCAACGGGTTTTCCACCAGATTTCTCCCCGGCCTGGACCCCGCCGTGCCTGAGCCCCAGAAGCAGAGATTTATTCAGGTCTTTGTTGTGGGTTACACGGTGTTGCACAGGTACCTCATTTGTTTTGAACAAGGGCTTTGTGTCGTCTCAGAGTATTTCAATTTCAGGTCCGAGGCACTGAGAGTTGACAAGGGAAGCTTCGCGAGTTTCAAGGCTTATTGCCTGAATATGTATACTCATTACTCCTGAATTCCTAGCATTTGCTGGGGGGTGCGGGGGGGGGGGGGGTCGGGGCATAAGGCCCACGGACTTCATAGAAGTACCAACACTGGAAACATCTGGAAATATCGAGAAGCATGTTACGGATGTTGAGGTACATTGTAGTAAGCTGTGAGGGTATCTGGGATCTCAAGCGCTGACAGCTTCCTTAGAAGCGGCCCCTCAAGCAAGTGAGGTTGCGGGTCAGGGTTCAGTGTGAAGCCCTTCATGACCTTCATCCCTCAACCGTAGCTTTCAACACTAAACCCATCTAGCCGTCAACCTTTCCGGACCCAAGTCGATCTAGCAAGCTGCAGGCGCAGACTCACGCTGGCCGCCCCATGTTACAGTAAGGGTCCGGGGGGCTAAACCCTATATCCTAAACCGTAATGCCCAACATCCTAAAAACCGACCCTATAAACCGTAGCAGCCCTAAATCCTGTGTAGCATGTTATATGATGACGATACACTTTCGAGAATGCCACGCCGGAGCCAAACAGGACGATGACGGACGATGGTTGCTCAAGCAAGATGCGAGAGAGCTGAAGAAACAGACGGAGGGAGACATGACGATGACGGACGATGTTTGCTCAAGCAAGACGCGAGAGAGCTAGAGCCTCCACCAATGCCCATCCCATGGTATTACGACCCATCCCCTGAGGAGGCACGGGGCCACATGATGCCCCTTCCATGCGAGCCCCTTTGCGTTTCTACCGGAGGCCGAATCCCGCCGCCGCCGCCCCCACCACAAACCCCACCATTTTTCCCCCCTCCGCCCGCCACACCGCCCCCCCCTCCGGGGCGGCCAGGCGGCCCGAGCCCCAGAAGCACGGTGATGTACGGGTATGACATTTTCTTCTTTTGAACAAGGGTTATAGAGGTCTTTTGCAAGGTTTTGTGGGTGTGTGTGTGTGTGGCTTTAGGCTTCAGGGCTTAGAGCGTTCGGGCTTTGTGCTTTTGCTGGGGCCTCTCAGCTTCAGGATTTTATGGTGTGAGGCTGCTTCCTCCTTGGAGGAAAGCCTGGTGGTGCAGACTGCGGCTCCCACTCTCTGGCCCGTGGCCAGAGCGGCGATTCGGGTCTTGTTCGCTAGACGTCAGTTTCCAGCATAGGGCGGGATTCCCCGGGCACTCGTAGGTAGCCCGGCTGCCCCCTATTCCAAGGAGGGCATAACTGCCGTCGAAACCCCTGAGCTGGAGTGTGTCCCCCACCTGCGAAAGCAAGTGGACTGTTGAGTGCGGTGCAAAGTCCTTTCTGCCCTTGAAGCCCTATCATTTGTTTGGCGGGGGGTCGGGGCATAAGGCCCACGGACTTCATAGAAGTACCAAAATAAACTGGAAACATCTCGAAGCCATCAAGAAGCATCTTACGGATGTTGAGGTCAATTGTAAGCTGTGAGGGTCTCTGGAATCTCCCAGAGCGCTGACACCTTCCTTAGAAGCGGCCCCTAAAGCAAGTGAGGTTGCGGGTCAGGGTTCAGGGTGAAGCCCTTCATGACCTCCATCCCTCCACCGTAGCTTTTAACACTAAACCCATAGCTCCGAACCCTCGCCGTCAACATTTAATCATGATCCATAAGCCTCTAACCCATAATCCTCAATGCCTCAATCCTAAACCATAAATAGAAGGCTGCAGCTGGCTGGCCCGGAGACCCGGCTAAACACATCCCACAAAATTTAGAAAGTAGAAAGGTTCTCATAATCTTTCTACGTAGTAGTGAGCTCCTGTTGACACAGACTACGTACGGAAGCATGTCACAGGCAGAGATCAGCATCTTAGCACGAAGATGCAGTTGGTCGTCGAGTCATCGCGGCGTAATCGATTTGGGCATGTCAGCCGGGATGTCGGCTGACATCCCTAGCTCAACCGGGTCATTATTTTGAAGTACACTCATACACCAGGCCCTTACTTCACTTCGAAATAAGGTTACATCATTGAAACTTAATATGCAAGGTTTCATCAGTGGCCAAGATGTCAAACTTCAAAGTCTCCGTTTCAAATTCCTAGCCTAAACATTCGCATGTTTAAATCTGCGGAAGTTCAGCTAGACCCTCTAACCGCGCGACTTCACCCCGAACACTAAGCTGTAAAACCTTCGGTGGCCCTAGAGTAGTAAGGCACTTGCTTACATGACAGGTCGTGCATGCTTCTGGAACCTGATCCGACGCATACCAGTGCCACATGGTTAGAAAGCGAAGCCATGAGCTGCCTGGAGTTTGGTTTTTGCGCTTCGCAGTTTAATGATTTTTCTGGGTTACTTTACGGTTTTGGGGTTGTGGATTCAGGCATTAGGGTTTGCTGTAGCATGTGCAGGCATGACGGTCCGACCCGTCGAGGGACAGCATACATACGTGCATTTGTTTTTGTGTTTTGTGCTGCTCCTCGGTGCATGTGTAGTGTAGATCAGCTGTTTACACCTGCTTTGTGATGCTGGTTGCAAGCACCCTTTACGGGCGTGGTTGCTCACCAAGCCTGTTTTTTGTTGAAAGCGTCCTTGAACCTATTAAGATAATCAGCGGCTGCTCCACGTTCAGAAGCCTTGCCTGGAGAATCCCGGAGCTTCAGTTGATGATCATGTATGCACACAGTACAGCCGTCTTCTATGTATCTCGTAGTGTTTTTGTTGGGGAGGGTGAGGCAACTCCCCATGTCGGACATCGTGGGGTGCCTCAAACTCAAACTCTAATCCAAGGCAAAAGTCCCAGTCAGAGTGCATTGTCTGGGGTGCAGAAAGTAACATAGGGCCTCGGCCGCAGGGTCTTTTCGTTGGCTTGCACACCATTGATCGGCAAGCCCATCAAAGTCAAGGTCGCTGGGCTGACTATGTCCCACAAACATCCTATCATTGTTAGAGCTATCAGTTGGACTATGTATGGCAGTACGGCGAGCCCGAGCCTTTCTCAAGTTGTGTAGCCAGAAGCACCATTCAGCAGAAAGGCCGATCCCTGCTGGCAGAACCATTCTTTCAAGTGCGACCGTGCAAACTTCTGTTCAAGGGCCATGAACCCTAAACCCCTAAAACCTAAGCCTCGTAAACCGTACAACATGGATTCACCCAGCCGAACCCACAACACCGAGCCCATAAACCAACAATACCCTGTTAAACTCGCAGACCATGAAGCCCTGAAACGCAACATATTATACCCTGCACCCTGAAATCGAGTCGTACCTCCACGCCTTTGAGAAGGCTCTCCCCAACGGGGGGCCTTAAGCTTTAAGCCCAAAAACCAAGGCTCGAAACGCCAGAGCCTAAACCCCAAGCCCTGTACCGTACCCTAAACCTTAATTCGACATTAACCACAAAAAATCGAGCGCCGGTCTGATGGCATTCTAGCCTTGGCATGGCGGGGCCAGCACTTCCAGACGAGCAGGCGCCCAGTTGCCTTCCTATTCCTTAGGGCTTAGGTTTTGGGGGTTTAGGCTTAGGGCTCCTTATCAGAATACAACCCAAAAACTCGATTCTACTTATTCAACTATTGAGGCCCCTAGATGAAGTAGGTGTTTCAGTGGTGTCCAGGTTTACCTGTTTGTTTCTGGGTTCGGGGTAATGTCCTACTATATACACTATAAGCAAAGCTAAAAGTTTCTAGTTTTATAGTACAACTACTCGAAAGAGCATCTACATTTTTCCCACTGGGTTACTCAACAACCTAGATTCCGGGCTCGGAGACTTGGGAGCCGCAGGCCTTAGAGTTTACAGTTATGGGTTTTAGTGTTTCAGGGCTTTGGTTTAGGGTTTCAGGGTTTCAGATCTTTGGGGGTTAGGGTTTCAGGGTTTAGGAACACGCCCTGTAAAGTGTGCAAGTCTGACTGGTAAGCCCTATGCACCCTACGCGCCAGGTGATGTATACGCCCTATAATCTCTAAAAGTCTTAAACAGCCTTAAGCCCTGGACACCCGGTAAAACCTCCAAATGCTTCATTAACATACAACTGAAAATCAAATTTCTGCAGCCTTGGAGAAATCTTCAAATTCGCATAGACCGTCCTATCCCCGAAACTCAATCATCATCTCCCCAGCTTTCGAGAAATCCACTGGGGTTATAAGTAGGGTAGCCAAGGCTATAACCCCGACTAGGGAACCTATAAGCCCACCTATACCTACCCTAAAGCCCTAAATTTTCTAGACCCATCATTCAAGGAACCCCTATAACCCCACCAATTACTAGCCACGAACTTCCAAGCAAGGCTCCATGACGTCTTAATCATCACCCGAAACCCCTAAACCCTCAACCCTAGACCCCAAGAATCCAAGGCTCCATGACGTCCTTTCCAATGGTAAGAACCTACAAAGAAGCCCCTGTAAGTTTTATAAACTGGATTCAGAATCAGAAATAGAAAATTGAGGTTCTGGCTATGGTATAATACAAGGACCATAACAAACAGAATAGAGTTTTAACATTTTGGGGTGTATTATAGTGTATGTAAGATAGTGTGAGTATATTCAGGAACCCTAAGGAAAAGCATTGGTAATCAGTTCAGCCTCTACATTAGTTTGTTGGAATTTCAGAACCCTGAACCATAAACCCTCCACCCGCCCGACACTGTATTTGGATTCCTATAATTATAGGTTCTGCTATAGTTTCAGGGGCACATATTGTCAATATGTAAAGGAACGTTGAGGAACAGTCTTCGGAAGTATCTAGACCTTATTACATTATGGAAACTGTAACTTAATGGACCTCAGGCATGCCCCCGGCGCCTCGGATCGCCTCTGCTGCTCAAACGAAGTACAAGCCTCAGCGGGGCGGGGAGGCAAAGGGCTTCAGTAACAACCTCAACAGGGTTCCTGGTTGTA